GTGTGTGTGTGCGTGTGTTTCTTCAGGTCTCCACTGTTTCATCAGGAGGAAAGAAACAACAGGGAGAATGAACTTGACTCTTCCACAACACCACAGCTGGCTGACTGCTGCTCGCTTGACGTGTGTGTCTGTGTCTGTTTATACTTACTTGTGTTTGTGTACGTGTGTGTGTATGTGTGTGTGCTTATACATGTGTACAACTCAGCAGGCAGATGCAGCAGATGTCCGGCATACACATCTCACATCTCACACACACACACACACACACACACACAGTAACGCCGTTAATATCCACACAGCAGACAGCTGAGTTGGTGACATTAAACGACCCCTCCCTGCGTTACCCTGTCAGGTCACCATGGCGATGATAAAGTGCTGAGTCGTGCACATGTGTCCCGGTGCCAGCAGTTTCCAACAACACCCCGAACACGCCCTGGTAATGCCCCTTATCTGGCCAACACACACACAGCTGGGAGAGGATCGGATGAAAAGAGGTTTCATTTCTTTCCGCGGGGCGTCATTGTTTCTTTAACCTTAAATCCAATTAATTTGTCTGTTTATCGCATCGTCTTCAAGTGAATCCTTTAGGTGGAGAGATTTATGTCTCCTCCTCCCGTTGTCTGTTCTTTCTCTACGTTTCTCTCTCTTATGTTGAGAGTTCATGGCGGCTCTCCTTCCATACAAGAATCAAACAAAGGACAAGTACTGTTTAATCCCATCGTTGCCCAGCGCTAAAGACAGACCAGCTGGAGGCCTTTGTGTTCGTGTGCGCGTGTGTGTGTGCATGTGTGTATGTGTGTGCATTTGTGTATGTGTGTCACATAAACCGGTAGTGTTCTCTATCCGTGTGCACTCTTGCAAGTGTGTGGGTTGCTGAATGACACTCTTATTGGAGTTTTTCTTATGAGTGTGTGTTGATATATATGTTTGTGTGTTTGTGTGTGTGTGTGTAAGGGGGTTAAAGAAGGGGGAGGGGGGGGTATGGGGAAGTAGGTTTTGCCCCCCCCCCCCCCCTCCCTCTCACAGAGACACACAGATATTCAAGTTCGAGTTGCGTCGCCTTTTGTTTTCAGGAGGGGGAGGAGGGTGCAGTGGGTGGCTGGATGGCTGGACGGATGGATGGCTTGCTGGGACACTGTGCCCCACGATTTTCCCAAAAAAAATATCCCCCCTCTACCTCCCCCCCCCTCCCCTCCCCTCCCCAGCCAGTGTAGTGCCACTGTATTGTCTGCTTGCAGGCGGGCCGCTTGTTGCTTGCCTTCTGTCCTGCTGTGCTGAGTGCCTGACAAAGGGGTTCTTTTAAATATGCAGACAATCCTCGATCACTCACTCACACACACACACACACACACACACACACACACACACACACTTGTCCCTGCTTTCCTCTTTCTCTCTCCGTCAATTCTTCCATGGCTAGACCTGGCCTGGGAGTGTTTCCTTTTTTCACGGAGAATCAACAAGTCTCAGACATGAAAAGGATACAGAAGGCTTTTCTCCCAGTCAGCGCGGTGCGAGCTCTGAATGAACGCAGCTAGCGTTGCTTTGTGGAGCGTTCGTCTCCTCAAGGCTAAAGTACGGAATCCTGTTTGTTGTGGTCTCTGTGACCGAGCTTTCTTCTTTACTGTACCTTTTGATTAGCTACACATTCTTGTATGCACAAGAAAATTCATATTGAAAAGAAAATTATTTTTTAACATAAAAACAGTGATCCTTGACTATTTTTTTTTTTTACACATCACGCACAAGAATAGATAAACACATGTGTGTATGGAAACAGCTGTCTTGAGCTGGTTTTTGGAAGTTGCAACAAAGTTATGGAGATTGTTGTCTCAGCCAAACCTTCAGATGTCAGTTTAGAGACACAAGCTGGGAACTGGTTTGAAAATGTGGCACAACAGCCAAACATCAGGACGCTTTGAGTCCATCTCTTTATCTCCCCCCCCCACACACACACACACTTCCTCCATCTCCTGGTAGCTACGAGAGCCCTCCGTGGCAGCTTGGCAGAGGCCGCTCCCTCACGCGAAGCAGCAGAGTGCAGGGGCCCGGGCCCCCAGACAGGAGCCCAAGCTGGTCTCAGCCTCCCAACATGTTGAGCTGGCCTGCCTTGGGCACAGCCAAATGGTTCTGCAGCTGCCCCTTTGTCCCCCTTCCTTAAGTAAACAAAGGACAGAAACAAATTAATGACCTACATTCACAGCAAAACCTCGCACGGCCACCTCGCAGCGAGAGCGAGCGAGCAGTTGTCTATAAGCAGATGTTCACTTACAACGCTGCAGATTGCAATTAATGATCACCAAGCAGCACGTAACCAAAGGATAAGGCTGCTGTCTTTTCTACAGCAGTCGTCATAACGTCTGCTGGCTGCCTGAAAGCACGACTGAAAGCATTGCTGAGAGCAAGCATCTAAAAAAAAAGACTTTTTGAAGTTTGCACATTTTAACTGAAATTTAAATTTTAAAAGGAAACATCTCCCAAAACTGAAAAACACAAGATAAATATATTTCAAATAATTGCTCGCCTTCGAGTGCGACATAAATCCTGTCCACTTTAAAAACACACGAGTATGTCACTCGTTAATGATTGAGCTCCTCGAAATGGACACTAAATCTTTTTTTAAAACTTCTAAGTTTCCTAAACCAATATTAGGCATTCATCAGACAATGTAATGAAGATTAGGTTGAGCTTATCGCGGGAGTGTGCGTCGGGGGCTTACTGGGGAGACCATCTGGGGCCTAATGAACGCTGCTCCTTGGCCTCTGTGTACGGACTTTTTAAGCATCTATAAGAGCAGTTTTACTGAGCAGCAATACATTAGCTAAAGCTGATTTCCTTACTGGAAAACCGTACTTGAGGAGCTTTGGAATGAGGCTGATTTTGTGTGTCCGTGTGTGTGTGTTGTATCTCAACAAGCTGCTGCACATTTTCTTCTCAAGTGCAGCCTCCACCGGTGCAGCAGATAAGGAGATCAGGAGTTGTGCAGGAACCCGAAAGCACACGCACACGATGTGTTCAGGCCATCACGCTCACACACACACAAACACAACTTCCACCCACATCGCAAGTCACTGAGGATCAGAATGTGAAAACCTCCTGCTCTGGCCCTTCTGCAACCTGTAACTCTGTGTACATGTGCAGCATTGGAGCTGAAAATGAGGCCAACATTTCTGTCCCGATATTTCAGTAAAGAAACGGTGAGGCGGAGATATTGTTGGTAAAATGACACATTATGATATAAAGACGAGTCATGATATAAAGACGAGAAGAAAAAACAGCTTCACACAAAGGTTGAATTTCAAGATTCTTATAATTTATTGCAGTTTGCACACAATTTAAAAATGTCAACAACAGCACACCAAAAAATTACAAAACTAAACACAATTAGAATTTACTCCCCTTGAGAAAAAAAATAAAATAATCAACCCAACTATGATTGTCAAAGCTAAAAATGACTAAATCTGAAAAAAGAACATAAAATAAAAGCAAATAAAAATGTTAATCTCAAGAGGGAGCAAATATATCTGAATCAAAATCTGCATGTTTTTTTCCCCCAGACAGTGATTGTCCTTTTTCAAAACAGACTCGGTCTGTCCCATCCGTCTTTCCATAAACTGTCTATGACATTTGAACATTTCATTTTTATACCTGGCGTCCCCCCCCCCCCCCCCCCCCTTTTGTTTTCAAGTAAGCACAGCAAAAGATGGAGATGTTTCGTCAGGGTGGTTACTTCACAGCGTCTTGAGCGGTTGACATCGCTCCCACGACTCCACCCCACGCTCACACTTTAAAAATTAAATTAAATATAACAGCCCGGACTACAGCAGTTTAAGGCGGTCAAGTACAACCAGAGGAACAGAACAAAAAAGAAACAGCAGTAATGATGAAAACAACAGCAGGATGGAGTGAGCCCATATGCAGAGAGACGCTGCCAGTGAAGAAATAACGTTTCAAGAAGAAAATGAGACGATGCAGTGCAAACTGCCGCAATGGCACCCACACTGTTGCCTTGGCAAACGCCTGTAGGTGCCACCAGATGACAGGGCAACACATACAACCACCCCCCCCACCACATGCACATCAATGGGGGCGTGCACACACGCACACGCACGCACACGCACACACACGCGCACACACACACACACACACACACACACATATATAAACACACTGAGTGAGGGGAAATGTGGAGCGTTCACCTTTCAGTATCTGTGTCAAATGTTTTTGGATTGTATAAACGCTTGACCATTACTTTGAAATTCTAATAAAATAAAAAATTAGAGATACAGCGGTTTAAACAAAAAAAAGGAAATAAACTGACGTTGCCCCCAACCCAAACACAACATTCACATACAAAAATTTTCCAATCACATGATCAAAATATAATAAGACATCATTTTTTGATAAATTCAATAAATTCCATGAATTTATGCAAGAGTTTAACAACTATTTCCTAATGCTCTACAGTATCAAATACTTCCATAGCGTCAGAAATGTTCTTTTTTTTAATAAAGGCATCTTTTCAGCAAAAAATCTGATTTCATGTCTTTTAGCTTAAAAAGGTGCATTCAGGCATGCCAATTCTTTCCCATCGATCTCAAAGTAAGAGTTATGTTTTAGGAGGAAAAAACACACACACACACACACACACACACACACACACACACACACACACA